GGAACACCTCTGCAGCACGATGCTGGTAACAGTTTCCCACCTGGATATTCGCGCCACTACTTTGTTTCGGATACAATGGCGTCGGTGCTGCTGCTCCCGACGTTGTCACACTTTTCGAAACGTGCTCGAAAAATTGATCGAAAAATAAGGATGCTCCGACAGCGGTGGATTCTTCTGACAGAAATATTTGATCCGACCGAACGTAACCCAAATCCAGACGCAGACCCAAGCTTAAACCAGCGGATATGAATTTCAATTTATCCAGCGAAGATTAGAGAGTAGCGTCACGCGAACCAGCGTTTCCTCAAAACTGTAAACCACCGTCTACCTGGTAATTTCCGCCGGATAAAATTGCATGCCTAAAGCGAGCAATCCGCACCGGCGCGGCGAGTTTTTTTATCGCGTTAACGTAGCCTGATGTTGTCGTTATTACGCTGCCCTCGCTATTCTCCCTCGTGGACGCAATCTTGAAGGTGGAACGCCGTTACGTCCGTTCTGGGAACATCTAAATCTCGTCGCGACGCCACGCTCTGCAACACCAAAGGGCGTGTCAGTCACGCGACGACCGATCATCGTTACCACCGGATAAATTAACTTCACTCTGCACCCTATAATTTTATTGCCAAGTCGTACGTATTTTTATCGGACGTTTACGGATATCGTGATCAGCTATGTTAATCGATAAACACGATCGAGAACGTCAATTATACATCTCTTGCCTCTTTTTAAACGTGAATTTCAGAAGAAAAGTTTAAAAGCAAAAATAATTTACGAGATCGCTATATGTATACATATAACGGAGAAAATTTAGAGCCCGATCATTTCAGGGAAAAATCGGTTTGGTGAGAGATACGCATCGGCGACTTACTCCGATTTCGTAAATTCTAATTACGCTCACGTACGCTCTGACACGTGACAGTAGATTTATCTCGAGTAGAATCGGTCATGAGATGGTTCTATGGATTTGCGAATGCTGGGCTTTGTTCCTCTTCCTAGCGTTTTTCTTCTTGATAACTGCACGTTGTTTAATATAACACAATGCAATATCGTTTAGGACGAATTTGCTGGCGCAGATGTTTCAATCTCCCGTTCAGGCGAATGTTTCGCGTAGAAAAATATCAATTCAGCATTTACGTTTCGCTGATGTTTCCTACAAACTTGACCAGGATAACTAGCTTCAACTTTCGGCTAACAGCGGTCCGATGACTAGAAACGTTCTCAGAACGATCTCACCAGGCTAATGTAATTATTATTAGAAGAGTACCGTGTACATAGTCGCACATAGTTTGCAACTGTTTCTACTTCGAACGACCTGTAATTCGCTGTACGCGAATATAACTACGATCGGGACGTGCAGTCGAACAGGATCGGTATTTGCATGGAACTTTTTTTATATCGTTTTTACATTCCTGATCCGTCGCGCGAAACGAAGTCCGAATCGATACTACGATAACATTCCCAACACACACACCAAAAAAATGCCGAAATTCCCTGCAACGAATCCGGTAACTACGTTTCGATCATTTAGCCAGCAACATTGTGTCAAAATCGAAGATACGAAAATACGCGCCATTCGGGTCGTATCGGAATTGCGTGAACGATACCAGCTGCTCGATTATTCTATCGTTCGTCCTTTTTTACTCGATGGATTCTGGTTATTCCATACGATATCTCATGAAAGTATTCGAACAATATATTTTACGTGCCTTCGAATAGACGAAATCTTACGAATATATTCTACGTGCTGTACGAAGTTTTCTGAAACACCAGTACTGTAAGAAGGCGGAACTCTTACGATTAGACTGTGAAATTTTATGAAAATTCATATTTTTGGGGACATGAGTGAGAAAATAGGAACATCGGTAGAAAATTAATTTTACCTACCAAGTATTGTAGAAAACGCTATACTTATTTTTGCATATCGTGTGCATCTTGTGCAATTCCCTTTCAAATTCCCTGTAAATGCACAAAAACCTGCACTCTAGTTATTATTATGTCGACGCTTTCTTTCTTTCCAGATATTTTACATCAATCTCAAGATATTTATCAAGATTATCAATGAATTTCGAGATATTTTATATAATAAAATTAAACAACAAAATTTTATTACAATCATATATAATAAAAGTACAAATTTTCTACGATGAAACGTTAAAATACCTTCGCCAACTACCGTACGCTACCAACTCAGGATCGAAAATTACGATACACCCTGTATCAGGCTAACCTATTCGTGTTACAATGTTGCGTTTCCTATTCAGACGCGCGCCATTTATACTTCTCACGCCACGTCCAGCGATAATCGAGTGTCGTCGCGTCAGGGTGAGTCGTTTCGTTGGATCATCGCCAGTCTCGACGAGACTGTGCTGCGCAAATTGCATCTGCTCGAGCACGCCAAATTGACCATGAGCCGAGGAAAAAACCGGCGATTCGGGAAACGTAAAGTACCAGCCGTTTCCGGTGCGCGTGATCTCGTATGCAGCCTCGTTTCATCATCGAGTCACCGTCGTCGTTGGGACAAACAGACGATCATCGCGGCGGACGCGATTTTACACGTGCATTTATACGACGAGTATTTCCGACTAGACCAGCGTTTTCCACGCGCGGACTAGCGCCGTTTCTCCTCGTTAACACCACGCGATAATAATTATTCCACGTCGTACCGGTAATTACACTCGGAATCGCGACCAAGCAGCCAGATAGCCGGACAACGGGAAAAAAAAGAGAAAATCTGCAGCGTGAATTTTTCTGTTCGGCCCCTCGACACGGCGTTCTACTTTCGGCTTTTTAATGATTTTCGATAAATTCGTGGGGCCGGCTTCGAAATAACGATCGAATCCCGGTAACCAGGCCTCTATAGCCCATTTGAAATTCATATTCCCCGGGGACGATGGTATTTCACAGCTAGTGGAACCGACCTTGTGACATTGATGGGATTAATTATGAATTTTCGAAAGGAGCTTCCGATCGGCGAGGAATTGACCCACGAAACCGGAACGAACATGTACAAGGGGTGATTGATCGACGCGTATTATTGCGCGTGTTACGCGATAATCGAAGCTCTTAGCCGAAACATCGTAATTTTGTTAATTAAGTCGTGATCGTGAAGCGAATCGAGTTTTCCAGTTTTCTGAGTGTCGTGTAATAGCGGAAAGCAGACGACGACAACGCGGAATACACGAGCCTTCACAGCCAGGCAAATGCGGATACATACACGTTAAACTGATTTATGATCGCGACACCTTTTCAAAATTTGCATTGGACCGACCGTGAGACGAATGAACGTCCTGCTGACTGGCAGCGTGTGAAAGGAGCAGAGAGGAGGAAACAGAGAGGAATAGACCAGGGAACGGTTAAACCAGGCTAACGGAATAAGCAGTAACTTGATAGAAGCGACGCGATGACTGAAAAAGTGTATTCGCCAGGTGGATCCGTACACTTCTGAAGAAATTAGATTCATCCCGTGTAAACACCATGGCTATTGATTTTCAGGGTTTCCTATATGTCAATAATGTCTCTAATCTCAGATTAAAAGAGAGACAAGAATAATCAGAAAGCGAGATTATCCCTTAGCTTCAAAGGTTAATTCTTGAACATCTAATCTTGACTTGGTTTTTAACAGTTAATTTAAATCTGATATCTGGTATTTATTTCCCATTATTCCAAATATAAATAATTGTATCGTGTAGAAATAAGAAATAATTTCAGTATATTCGCAGTGCGTCAAATACTTGTGTAACTTTTACAAAATGCATATTTTGCAGTAAATATTCTGCAACCCTTATGTAGTTCGTTATACCTTTGCCAGTTTGTTTCAAACTATACCAAGGTAACCGAAACAGTCCTGTCGCGTTACAATGCTAACGAAGTTACACAAACTTTTATGTAGCACCCATCCATAAAAGTTTTCCACGTTAAGTGATCAAATACTTTCGTGTCTCGTTCTATATACATATATTCTACGTCATTATAACCCGCCTACGATACTAATAAAGCATCCTGTGTTCAAGTTCGATCGACAAAAGGGGGTGACAAAAATGAAGTTTTTTATTACACCAACGAAAGTCTAGCATTAATGAATATTCTCTCCAACAGAATCATCGACAAGCATCAACTTCCATGGATCAGCCTGCCATAAAACCAAAAATAAAGCAGCGAAGAAGATCGACCACGAAACCCTTCGTCTGTGAAACAATTCGTCGAAAAGTCGGTCGCATATCGTGGGCTAAGCCGTAAAAAAGGAATCAAGGCGACACGATCCTCTTTACGGGGCTGTAAAGCAGCGACTGGCTGTTGGTTGGTGGCGAGATCGCACAAAGAATATCTAAATCGGCGTAACCGTGACGCCGTCTGCTTTCCTCCTGAATTCTTGTTGCCAAAATACACACACGTGCATTTTCAGTATTAGGATTAGGACACTTGTGAAAACTTGAATACATAATTCGCATAATCTCGTGTTGTACTCGCTTCGTCACGAAACAAACTTCTTTAGTAATCACACAGTCCACTCTTTCCTTTCTGCTACATCAAAAGCTGCGAATAACGAGCTGCTCGTGCGAGGATTTATACAACAAGTCGCGTTCCGTATGAAATCAGCAGCTGTCCTAACGCTCGTAAGCGGAAGCGTACGTAAAAGGACGAACGAAGGCTGAAATCTACTCAAAAAAGCATGCCAGATCGCGCGTTATAATTACACAACAAAGTTCTTTAGCAATCGTACAGTTCGCTCTTACTTTTCTGCTATATCAAAAGCTGCGAATAACGAGCTGCTCGTGCGAGGATTCGCGACGCAACAGTCGCGTTTCGTACGAGATCGCCAGGTGTCTTAATACTTACGAACGAGAGTATACTTAAAAGAATGCTCCGATTAGAAACGATTCGAAAAAGCTTGGCAGATCGCGCGTTCGTCGACCGATGTGCCTATATGCAGACGGCCGGCAAACAGAGGAATACGTGGGATCGGAATACGAAGTGTCGAAGGGGATAGCGGGTTCCGGAAGAGAAGGCAGAGAGATAGGGGAGCGGATCTCAATGGAAGAGAGGACGATCGTAGAGAGGTACGGGAGCGCCTGCGCCCTCGGCTATACCGAGTTTCTGCGTACGTTTCCATCAGTCGGGTCTTCAACTCCGGACCGCGAACAACCAGTGATCGGGGCCGCGTGACTTGGACGCCGTGCTAACACCCTCTCACAGACCCCTTGCAAGAGGATCAACGACGCGACGCGCACCGGAAACAAAAGGTTCTCCAGTGAAAGTTTCGATCTTATACCGGTACTGTCCGTGCTTCCGTTTTCCCAACGATTTACGCGGCGAAACTTCCGTTCCCGATTGCGGTCCAAAGTTTCGCGAACAAGTTTTCCGCAGAACTTTCACACGCGCTTTCGCCGCAACCAGAATTTTTGTACTTCTCTTTATCTCTCTTTCTCTCTCTCTCTCTCTCTTTCTCTGCTACTAGTAATTTTACACGGTACGCAATAGCGAGCATTGTTTTTTACGAGCCATGCTTGTTCTCCGCTCGAACGATGATGCTCCATTGCAAGTGGTTCACGCGCGACGAAGAACTAATCGGAAATTAACGAGAAAATGCTTCCGATTAGCAATTGAAGTAGAACGATTGTTAATTGAAATTGTGATCGGGGAAGCTTCGTAGTTTCATCGGCTGGATTTCGGTCGTTTGTAAATCGTAAAGCAGAGTGATCTCGCGTTATTTAAAAATTATTTAAAAATTCACGGCGAAGGATGAATCTTGGGAAGCTAGACGAGCCACGAGATCATTGGTCACCTTGTGAAGGAGGATCAAAGGGCGTGATCGTTAACGCCGTTAGCGCTAATTAATCACCTGTCATACAGATAAATATCGTGTATCACGCTGATAACCGGTTACGAAACTATACGACCATGTATGCCGATAATTATGAACAGGCTAACTCATTAGTCGCAGTCGACGTTAACGGCCTCGTTGCAAACGGCGTCGCCTGTTTCCATCGCGTTCCTCTAAGCCGTTCAATCGTTAATCGGATTCATACTCTGTGATACCGTACGAAAAAACGCGGCTACGCGATAATTGCCTTTGAGAGCGATTAGATTCCTTCAGAATCAACGAATCGAAATAGAGCGAGCGACAGAGAGAGGGTGAGAGAGAGAGAGAGAAAAAGAGAGAGAGAGTGACAAAATTTCAAAAGCGTCAAACGATAAAATCCTCGCGTGTTTCGACCCTCAACTCTTTTTTTCCATCCTCGGATTGCAGTAATGCATCGTTCGACTGGAAGCGTCTGCGGAACGATCGTTCGTTCGGTCGCGTGGAAAACCTCATGAGAGAGAAGATCGTGCACGCGGACGCAATCAAAGAGACTGGAAAAAAGGTATCCGCGTCGGATTGGACGATCCATCATTCGCTACTGGTGTTGGCTGAACCAGAAAGATAGGCGGCCTGATCGAGATAGAGGGAGAAGGAGAGACAGAGAGAGAGGGAGAGAAAGAGAGAGAGAGAGAGAGAGATAGTGCAACACGCAAACAGGAGGAAACCATCCTCCCCTAACTCGGAGATTGCGTAATTAATCGCGAGACTTAATCGAGTACCGAATTAATTGGGACAGATTTACGATCGAGGTCTGTGACAGTGGACCGCGATACCGTCGACGATCATGAAGTATCACCAGTGCGTGCAGATGACCGCGCGGCGGTCGCAAATGAAAAAGACCGCACGGGAGCGTGGTTCGATCCGACAACGTTAAAGGGACACGGATCGTACATCACCGTACCGTCCGGGAACATCGGTTCCACCCAATTCCCAAAAAGAAGACGATCGAGCAAAACGAGTTTTTCACGCTCGACCTGTTCGACCAGCCCGCTGTACGTTTCGCCTCTGCCTTGCCTGTCCATCTTTTCACGCTGCTAATTAATTTTCATCCTTTAGCACACTCGTGGTAATCACGCGGTGTTCGACGACAACGGCCAATGACTGGCAGTGTTTTAAAAAATAAAATCACGAAGATCATCGCGAGTCGCGTGGTTCGTGGTAACGAGCTGGAGATACTCGTCGTGAATTCGCGAGGCCAAATAATTTGGACAAAGTCAAGACCCTCGAGTCCCCAACGTGCTTCAACGTAATTAGCAAACAGTCGCCGCCAAGTGTTTCCGCGGGAACAGTTCAATTTCCTCGCAACATTCTCGCCCTAGGCCGAGATTCTGACCAAAAGCCGAGATCTGGTCGTCGAAGCAGGCACTGTGCAAATTGTAGCCTCCGAAAGGGCGGTTACCTGATTCCATCAAGCTCTTTATAACCTCTCGAGGACCATGAAGAACTGAGCCGATCGATGGGGACGAGCTTCGAAAGGTGATTCGGTGTGGCGATTATAGGAAGGAAAATTGGTGATTGAATGTCTGTGAAAGGAAGGAATTGGCTACGATTTTCGAGATCTTTATATAAAGATTCGAGATGCCGATGGAACGAGGTGGCCAGTTAAGTAAGAAAAATTCGATAAACGCGCATCATCGTTGAACCACGGGTTGAAACTTTTCGTTAAAAAGTGCATTCCTATCGGGGCCGTGCCACTGCGGGGAAATTAAAAGCAGTCGACGCGCATCCTGTGGCGAGCGGACGTAAAGATAAGAAGAGGACAGTGCGCTGGTGGTTGTATAAAAAAAAAGACAATGCTAAAACGCCGCCAGAAATGCGAGCAGAGAAAGAAGCAGAATAAACGATTCGTGGAACTTTTTTAACTGAAGTATCGAGTACCGAGAACAAAGTTAAATAACGGTGACATAAAAAGTTTATCAACAACGACCGCGTAGTTGAACCAACAAAAGACTCGCTAAGAAAGTTTGTTAACCGAACGATAACCCACAGGAATCTACAAAGATGTACGAACGCAAATGCCCAGAGGACAAACAGAAATTTAAGAAGAAAAAGACCTTATGATCTGCAACTGTCAAGAACGCTGTAGTAAAAGGTTAGTGCAACGATAATAGAACGAAATTCAGACGACGTTCTCGGATCTGTAACTGGACGATTGGAAATTTCGTGTTCGCTGAGAGTTACGTTCTACTGCCGACGAGTTCCGCGAGAATGAATCGTGACGAGTAAGAAGGGTGAGAAAACGGTAACGTCCGAGTGAAAAGGGGCTGAACACGACAAACGGGAAATTGTAGAATCGTTGTTAGGAGGGATATCCTGCGGGTGAGCCGGTCAGCCGACGGTGATGGCATGAGGACATTAGTAAGGAAGAGCTGCGGGTCCAGCGAGGAGGAGGATGAGGATGGTGGTGGGCGTGATGGTCCTTGGTCAGCTACTGACGAGGATTTTGCTCGCTGCCCACGCAGGAGATCGTCTCGCGGCAGCTCGCAGAATTCTCAGAGACGTGCCACTGATAGACGGGTGAGTAAAAGGAAATTGCTCTAAGATTACAATTTTATGATCTATAAATTTTTTACTATAAACAAGAGAGAGAGAGAGAGACGCAATTTAAAATCGACAGCTTTGTACCATACGCAGGTAGCTTTTCTTGCGAAACAATGCTAGTTTCTGTAAATAAAGATTGGAGGATTTTGAGGTTCGATCTTGGGATTTGCCAATTTAACGGAGAAAGGGAGAACGACGAAGCTTGGGATCTGTAGGTTTTTAGGAGTTTACACAAAGTTTCGCTAGAAAGTAGTACTAAATAGAAAGACGAGAAGAAAATCACATAAATGTAGGTCAGTATAGATTTTATAGATAGAAATACGACATATGGAATTAAGCTGACTTTCTTTCTAATATAGCGAATAGTGAACGTTATGTAGTACGTGATTATTAATTATTTTATCTGAACGATGAATATGTCACCGAGAACCGAGTATGCTAGTAGTGTATGCCTAAATGGTGGATTATTTTAAATAGAACGATTGTTTAATCATTCGGAAGAAAATTTATTACGAGGCAAAAATTGGTACGCGTCAAGGATTAATGTAATGAATTTGTAATGCATTCGGTGAAATTAAAGGAAATCGATAAGAAGTTCGTGATGTAATAAATTAAATTTGTCACAGACGTCAACCATTTATAAGAATGGGCGACAATTTAAAACGGGAATAACTTGAACATCGCCAATCTGTTTTTATGCTTTATCGAATAAAATGTCAGTTCGTTCTCATTTCATATTTTTGTTACAATTAAATTGCGAATATTTATGGCTTTATAGAAAATATAAAAATTCGAGAAATATATAGAATGCATAGAACATGGAAAAATACCTAAAAAAAATATCTAAAGTATAGCGAAACAAACATCTACCTACATTTCATTTCCTTAATTAAATTAATAAGTAGAAATGTGAATCTACACAAGCACCTGCGTTCTAATTATGAGTTTTTAACAAAGCACTTACGAGTCTACGATTTATGTAATATCCTCTAACTATTATTTGTATAATATTCTAACACCGTTCTGTGCGAACACCTGAGTTATCCTGTATATCATGAAACAGCGTGATTCGATCGTAGTGAAACGATTGCAAGTGGAATTTAAAACGAGGTATACATAAGCGAGTTCGCGTTTAGGGATGCTAACGTTGCCTGTAGAATCTACAGAGACCCGTTCCACCTCTCCAGCCCTTGGTACTTGAATTTTTGGCGTGCGTCTCATAAAATTGTTGAAATTTTAATGAATAACTGAAAACTCTAGTGTAATCGTTAACTCGAGTGCTCTATTGGAGCATCGCAAGGTACGAATTTATAGCCAGCGGAGAACAATGTCGTCGTAACGACGCGCATGGACGACATTCTATAGCCGAAGCATGCCTCTAATTACACCGGAATTAAGCTTGAAAGGAACGTCGTCCGCGTGTCCTGTCCAATTTGCGATCGAGCGTCGAATCGTCCGAAAACGCTTGCTTTTCCATCTCTCTACGGAGGGCCAAACTTTCCTTGGATTCCACAAACGAATCGTTTCTCAATTTCGTAGCCATACATCGTTGCCATCCACGAAATCGAATCAGTCGACGAAAGTTTATTTTCCACGTCACATATTTCTATCGTTCGGTTTTTTTGATCAACTCGTCTCTACTTTTTCTTGTTTCTCCAAATTGATGAATTTTGCCGAACAATGAAAAGGAAAAACGCGCGAGCAACCGCAGTAACTTCCTCGCGGGAAAATAGAGGAGCAAATTGTTTTTCGTTGGCGCGATGTAAAATTCGTTACGCTAAAATTTCAGCAACAAACGTGCGCCAGAGTTTCGCAGAAACTCGCCGATGACAAAAGAAACACGACGCGGTTTTTGATACGATCGACCGCGAAAACCTAACACGCTGCAACAACTCGCGCTCAATGCGCAACGTCCGTTCACCGCGTACGAACAAACACGCGGACAAGAACGTACAAGCGATGAAAGCATGGAATATGAAAATAGTATTGGCGAAGAGATTTGATGGCGATGCGACTTAAAATCGTTCCTTCATCTCCTCTGAAGGGAAGAAGAGCCGCGATTCGATTCGAAGAAACTCGAGAGTCGCGTGTTTTCTCAGAGGTAATGAGAAAGTTTCACGAGTGCGAAAGAAAAGACGTTAATGAAGGAAGAAAGAGAAAAGGGAAGTGGCGAAGCGATTGAAGAGAGGCGGCGAAGAAGGAGAACGTAAGGTGTGAAAGGAATAAAAGCAGGATGAAATTTATCTCGAGGATGGCCAGTGGCTATTGGTCTTCCACTTTCTCAAGTTACTTCGAAGTAGATACGAATTTCCACTTCTCGTGGCTGTGAAACAATGCCTCGCGTCTCCTTTCGCTACTTCCATCCGTACACGTCCCAACGTCTGCCTTTGCGTATTTCGTTGGCACGCGACTCTATCGATGTCTCTCACCACTCGATAGCCTCTCGAATCGAAAAGCAACAATGATCCCTCGTCGTCGTAAAATTTCACTCGTACGATCCATCGAAACCAGGCAAAGATCCCCTCTGCTTCGAACAACCAACGGGAGTTTTCGTTCTTTCCACGGTGTGGTGCATTTGTAAACGTAGAAACAATTACAAAGCAATAAAAATTCTTTCGCACTTAGAGTCGAGACATAGTCGGGTCGACTATCGGACCGTCTATCGATGTATGCTTTTTTTTTCTCAAAGTATAGATCTGTCACTGTCGTACAACGACGTTTCTAGCGACCTGTCAAAAATAAGCCAACGAATCGTGGTAAAGACGAGAGAAAGAATGATTCTTTTGTTGGTGCAAATTACGGTCTTCTCTCCGTCAGCCCTGTCGACCGTGGGCAAGGACAGAGTCTTTCATCCCCTGGGTCGCGATAGAAATTCGAGAAGTCCTCGGACGTATCGTCTCTATAAAAGGATACCACCACGGGAGGAAATGGAACACGAACGATTTCGCCGATTGTCGACGACCCGAAGGCGATTCGTTACCGATAACGAGTGAAAGCCTCGTCGAGCCTATTGTGCCCTGTATAATAGTTTGCATTTTTCCTCGGCAAAGGCCACGAAAAGAGTTCACAAGGGCTTACGTAACAATCGCGCGATGAGCATCGCCCTGTTGTTCGCGAAACCGTAAAAATGGATGAAACCGTTCGTCGGAATTTTCGCGACTGGCCAATTCGTGTATCGTGGCCGAGCTTTTTCGTTCGTATGCGAGAAACGTGCGCGGAAACAAAGAGTCGACGGTTGTGTTTCGCTTCATTAAAAAAAAAAAATATATATGCGGCAAATCTCCGGTGACTGTTCTCTACGTTTTCATCTCGCTCTTCGATAAAAAGGACAAAATATTTTTTTTCATCAGGGTTATTATTACCGTGTTTCCGCATCAGATATTCAATTAAAACGTACACAAACGAGCGTTCGAGTGGCGACAATTCGCGTACGAGCCAAGGAGCCAGAACAGACCGGACAAAAATTCACGAACGTTGCTTTCTTCTGCGAAATGTTTAAGCTCCGTAATTATCGCTGGTTGCTTGTACACCTATTAAACCGTGGTCCGACAACTGTTTGGTGAACGAAAGCGGGCTCGTTTTTTCACCGGAAACGCGGAAAATATTCCTCTGCGAACCTGATAACTCGCTTGGACAGCAGCTTGTAATTACGTCGTTCAACGACTCTGTTTATAACGTTCATTGCCGTGCGGAAATATTTAATTACCTAGGCCGTTCCGTGCCGCTAGACCGCAAAAGGTGGGCCACTGGTCTTCCACTGGGAAAGGAAAGGGTGCAAAGCGGTTTCCACGTCACAACCCTTTTCAAATGTTCTTTTCGAGAGAAAGAACATATGCACTAAGAGACTACGGACCATAGACGTTTCGGTCGTTTCAGATATTCGACTTGAGCGAAAGGCTCGCGAGGTTCTCACAAAAATTCCAATAATTTTCCAAATTTGCACCGACGCTATTGACCAAAATTGAACTCTTTCGCTGCGCTGTTAAGATTTGTAACCGTTGTATCGAATTACTTGTTTCAAAATCTACGACACGATGGATCAAGAGATAAATATTAATAATTTATAGGTCCATGTGTTTTATCACTTGTTTTGTGATGTTACTGGATAGTTGACATTGAAATATTCAACACTTTAGACACTTTCCTAGCCAACAGAACTTTTTTTAATCCAACAGATCAAAAATCCTGTCTTCGTCTATTAAAAAGGAAATACGAGACGTAGCTGATTTCTCAGATCAAAATTTCCTTCCCGAGTATATTTCAAAAACCTGAAATTTATGCATAATTGACGTAAATGTTGTTCGTAGCAACTGTTTCTATATTTCCTTTATAAAACGAAACATGATAATTATAATATAGAAAATCTGCGTGTAAGGCAACCTTTTCTCGAGTTTCGTCGTTTTAATGAACAGTGAGCAGATTAAGATCTTTCTGAAGAGTTTTAACAGAAGACAAAGTGACAGAGATCTTTTATACCGCGGAGCAACAAGTCTTTACTTTGAGTCATGAAGTAAGTTCGACCTAATCGGTGACTTGATCGTGAAGATTGAAATCGTGGAGGATCGCGCACGAAGAATCCCACGACAAAGAGTAATATAGTCCGAACGAGTGAAAGCTAGTCGTTGAACATTATCATTCTTCTAGAGCACGTGATACTAACAGAGTTCAAAGTTGCGAGTTTATCGCGTCGACGTACGGTCGTATCCGCTCAACGGCGCATAAATATATAAGCATACGGATAACGTACATGCAGAACAGGGTGCAAGTAGCGTCCAGGATGATGCTTGAAGCTTAAAAGCAGAAAAGGAGATTTAGGTCGTCGCGGAGTTGGCCAAGTTCGCGCAGAATCGACGAAAGTGGATGGAGGAACGCCTATATGCCTGTCGAAGCCCGGATATAGGTCCGAGTTTACCTTTTTTTTTTTTTTTTTTTTTTTTTTAATGGAAGAGAATATAAATTAATCCCTTAAATATGTA